ATATATCCATCTTTAGCTGACAGCATTTTCGCCCTGTGTGCACTTGTTTATTCCGCAGACATTCAATCATAGCACATATCATGAGCATAGTTAGGTAGTAATCACTAACACGTACAAACATACATTCCATTATTGCATGGTTTGGTGCTTTCGTCGTAATTGTGCAAACTGGACATAGATTGCATTAACATTTTAGAGTTTGAGGACGGGAGGGTCTTTAGAATTCTACGGCAGATTCACAAGCTGCGTTTCCATCGACTAACACATTTTCACGCGTTAAAATTTGCCTAATGAAAACGCGATTTCGATGTTTGTCGGTGTCTGCAGTAGGTAGTGTTCTGAAAGTACCGAAATGGACAGCAATAGAAGCTCTTTTTTCGATATAACAGGGTCAAACCGGACGTTGATACAAGCAAAGTCGAAGAGCAAAACAAAAAGAAACGCTAGTAATTGAGTAATGATCGGATGGATGTTGAGACGGAATAGTTTTAAATTTTGCTTTGGATTTGGGAGTTCCGCTCCATACATGCATCATGAATTTTGGACTTCCAGTCATCGCGCTGTGCATACTGGGAAGGATTTTCCGAAAAAGTGAGCACTGTGCACTTTGATGGAGCTCCACATACAAAATGTTCACTGCAAACTCGGGATCATTTCTTTGGCAGTCAAAGGTTTCCTTTTCGGTCCTTCCCGTGGATCAATCCTGCCCATCGCCTTTGTCTTTCACTATTTTTCAGTTCCATTGGGAAGGGAAACAGTTTGAACAGAGGTTTGCAGTCACATCCGATTCACTTTTGCAGTTGTGGAATTCGCAAACTTCCGAAGCCTGTTTGTCGAGCCGTTTTCCATTAGGTCTGTTAGGACATCCAACAACCACACAATCATGATGTCCAAATCCTATAACTATCAGAACCAGAAACAAAAGCAATATGGTTCAGAAGGTATGGTAAAGACTAGAAAAGACCGGCTTTGTCAATAGATGCATCCCAATGACCGGAAGTCCAAAATTCGTGACACATGTATTGCTGCTGTGGTCAAGATATCTGGTGTAAATCAAACATGGATCTACTGAAATCAAAGTATTGTTTACATCCGTCATGTTTGAACCAGTAAAGAAACGTGCGAAAATTAATCGAACCAGCGTCGTTGCAAAATTGTTGACGCTTTTCCGACATTTGAAATAGATCGATAAAGTTTCTCGCAATTGTTTAATGGAAATGCAGCTACTGTTTTTCATCCGCAAATGTTCAACCTCATCATTATTTGTTAACCCAACAAATTTACCATAATAATTTCATGTCTTAAAGTCCTTTCAGCTGACAACAATCGTATAATCGGTGTTGGATAATGGTGACTCTTCTTTTGTTTTTGGATCGGACAAATAATTACAATCCAATCAAAATACCTGCAATCTGACAAATAGCAAATTCAACCATAGAACTCTGACCCGTCCTTCAGCTCACTTTTAAACTATAGGCATACTAAAATGTTATGATGCAATCTACGTGAAGTACATAAGCGTACTATAGTACACAGGAAGCTGGGACGTGACATTATTGCGTATCCATTATAAAGGATTTCACCGGGGAGTAGACTCGGGCAGTGGGGCTGGCGTAAGAGAGAGAATAGACTCAGGTTTGTAATTAACTGTGGCGGAGCTGCTTAATATTGATGCATAGTTCAAAACGAGGACTATCTCTCGGAGGAAATAGAGCACAGGTACAGGAAATACTCTGGTCACGCAAACTCTATAAATGTATTTAAATGTACTGGATATGTTTATGATGTAACTCGAGGTTCACAATGGGACCATGAGAGGATTACTGAACTCTTACAGCGTCAAGTCAGGGTCACTGAGGTTGCGTGTAGGCAGGCGCCAGTTAATCTTAATTTCTAATTTTAGTAAAGTTGAGATATAGTTAAACGTAAGTTAAATTTAAGTATATTTTTTCAGAACTTAATGGAGATATGTGGCTGGAACAATTACCATTTTACTGTGCTGTAATATATAAGAAATTTAGTTTGTAGAAAATGTTATATTTGTTCAAGTCTGTTTTTTGGTTTTAATCTAAAGTAAGATCCAAATTTACTTATGTCTCTCTCTGGATATATAATTGAAAGAACATGGCTGCTTCGTTTAGTTCAGGTTTATTTAAAGGTCCTTTATTACGCATAATTAACTCTTTTGAGCTTTAAGTCAAGTTATAATGTTGTTACCTCATTAAAAATATACCTGAAGTTGGGTTTTGTTTCATTCACACATTTGAGTAACCCTTTGTTATTAGTCTGTCTACATTTTTAAATCTCAAAATGCTCTGTTCCATCTTGTGATGTCATTGAGTGGTAGTTTTCAAGTCAAAAGCTCCTTTAATCTTTAGTTCAATAGAGATTGCCAATTCCAAGTGTGAAATCATCCAAATGATTCTAGGCTATGTTTAGACTGAAACGAATCACCGTATTGGAAACGATTTGCCTCCAGACATGTCATTTCTATGTCCGCAAGTCTTCCTTATCCACACAGCTTTGAGCATGTTTGTTTATGTTTTACAGAAATGTGGCAAAGGAGAGAAATCTGTTTGTCGACTGGACAAAAATTTTGTTTGGTTGAACACATTTTGCAGCTCATCAAAGCTGCTTCTTCAGTTCTGAACTGAACTGAAGAAGCAGCTTTGAAGAGCTCCGAATGGATTCTGCCTGGACAACTGAGAACTCAAAAAACAGCTTGCTATATGACTCAGAGGAATATGAGTGTTCTTTCTGTGACAGAGAGATGTTCTACTGATGGTGAGTCTGTTCTGTGATTTTATCGCATTGGAGATGGTTCATGTTAAACTTTTCAGAGATTATACGTCTGCAGGTCGTACGTACAAACTGTACACATGAATGGACATATATTCTAGCCTCTTAGAGTTTTGGCGGTGAATTACTTCGTGATGCATAGACCTACATCAGCGTATCAGTGTTTTCAGGTGTCCACACAGTGCCGGATCAGATCTGTACTCAGATGAATTTGCGGGAGCTGTCGGCACCAGATCATTTCATCTCTGGAGCCGTTTTTCATCGGATTAGTGTGGACGAACACTGCATCTACAACGAAACAACTTGAATATGTACTAGTGTGGATGGGGCCCTAGTGAAGGTGTATGCAGTTTAAAAACACAGTGGAGTCAGAGAACAGAGCTTAACTATTCTGGATTTGTGTGTTAAACATGTGTGAATGAACCAAAACACAACAAAACATGGCGTAATATGGGCCCTTTAAGAGACAAGAGTGGATTCATGGATGTACATTTGGGGTGCAGAGTTTTCTGGAGACATATCTTGGAGCAGTACATTTGACTAAGTAACAGTCAAGGGCACTTCCACTGTTATATTAATATTCAATCCAACACCGGTTGTCATCTTGAACAGAATAGACCAGGAGAGCCCCAGGGTTCAGAGATTGTCCAATTTCCCATTTACACTAGACAGCATGGAGTAGCCAAAATTCAACTTCAAAATTCAAATTACTGCTTTTTTGTGTGTGATATCATGGTAATTTTTGACCAATTTGGCAGAGGTTTCAAATTTAAATCCATTTCACAGTGGTGAATCTGAGCCCCTGTGCTTCCACAAGTCCCCAGAGACCCCCATTAGTCCAGCTAATTTCACGTCATTTGAGCGAAAATTAATGAATTCATAAATCAACCAGTGTGGTCTCCGAAAAATAAGACACCATGACATCAACAGAGCACCATGAAATCTCATTTACACCTAGAATCAAGCTCCACAAGAGACCGTTTTCAATCTACAGCTCTTTGTACAGCAGATTTAAGACTCATAGTTTTAAAAATACACACAGATCAAGTGAAAAGGATTGGTCAAGTCCAACTTTAGTCAGAATTGTCTGGTTTCCGGGTTTAAGACAAAATTCTCTATCATTATGGTAAGTAAAGTAGAGTAGATTTTTTGCTAACACAATAACTACACCTAATAAAGCATGAACAAAGGCTTACTTTCATATTGAACAAATAGTTTATTAAGAATGATTCAGGCCTAGTAAGTACTTAATAACCTAACTCCTAATCCTAATTCTTTGAGTGGTTACTCTATTCATGTACTATGATTGTATCATGTCTGTGTAGTGTTGTCAAGATACTAACACTATATCGATACTAAGGAATAGACTCGATACTAGGGGTTTAATGGTACATGTATTCATGCTGAACAATGCTGAGTGAGTTCGCACAATTTGTGTGTTTATTTTACATGTGCAGCTACAGAAGGCTCAGGACAACTGCCCACCGCCTTGACTACGTCCCTCCGAACCACATAAATCCTCACAAAACCCCAGTCCTCACTTTTGCCTTTCGACACCCACCAAAACTTCATCCTGGAACAGTTAGGTCTGTGCTTTACTGTTTATAAGGAATTTATTTTTTTTTTTTTTTCATAATATTTCATACATTTGTTGCTTATTTGAGAATATTTTATTTAACTTATTAGTAATACCAAGCAGCACTTTGCATTTATTTTATTTTCCCATTTATATAATGTTAAATGTTGGTTTACTGAACCATGACCTCAAAACGAAGGTACGTACCGAACCATGATTTTTGTGTACCGTTACACCCCTACTCATTACTCAATTTATATTATATTTTAATATTAATATGTAATTTTCAACATTAATAGTACTTTTATATTACCATGTGGTGTTGTATCTGTGTAATCTATCAGTTGTCATGGTATGGGTGTATACTTCTATGTGCTCTTATAATTGTTCTGATTCAGCTCAAGATCATTCTAAAACTATTCAGAAAAGGTACATTTGTGTCCCATTGATGTGACTCTTTGTATTGATACTTGTTCAAATGTTTCTACATCGTTTGTGTATCGATTAGAATCAGATTTTTCATAATTTTGACCACCTAAAAGAGTGTAGTTATTATAAAGTGTCAAAAAGAGCATTGTGTTTATTATTAAAATCAAAAAGTGAACTGATTGAGTCAATGCAAAAGTGTTTATTGATGTATTTATTGTTTATTGTTGCTTAAAAGTAATTTATGTTTACTAACCACATGATCGACAGTGTAGCTGGGATGTGTGCATTTCATTCACGTTGGGCAGTGTCATTCACCATTAAAAACATTTGCTGTGCTTGTGTTACGAACAATACTCAAAACAAGGGACAAAGCATCTTTTCTGTTTCTCCTCGACTCTTCATTTTCCCCAAAGAAAATAGTGAGTCTACATTTTAGCAGTGGTTTGACATTCCCAGAATGCATTGCAACAAAAATATTAGAGATTTGTTTAGAAAAGGCGACCGCAATAGAAAACTAAAACTCTATGCAAAATGAATAGGACTTGACTTTTCTTTTTTCTGTCCATCACTTGTTATCGGAATTGTACTTGCTTAAGTTTTCAGTATTTCATTCAGTTTTCCCATCACCAAGGCAACATAACGACAGACCACATGTAAACGGTGCCATATAGTAAAATAGTACTGCAATAACATGGTAGAATACAGTAGTCTAATCCTAGTACATAGAACAGTAATTAGTACTGGAATGTAATCACAATGAGATGTTTCACTAACTCACAGACAGTAGCTCGAGGTACAATATTTGGCCCCAACTTTTGATTTCACTTTACACTTAAAAGCATCTCCCAAAAAGTTGTGAAATGTGTAAAATGCAAATTATGCTTCTTCTTTCGTTCTTTCTTTCTTTACTTTTTATATTTCCCATTTAAACCTTTTAGGCATGAAAACTGAACTTTTTATCTAACTTTTCCAGCCTTTTGTTGTCCTTGCCTCAGATAGTCTGTGATGTGTTTGCGCTTGGGAATTCAAATGTATCTATTTTGCCTTAAAACATTTAAATTGCGAAATATTTCTAGTTTTAAAAATTTAAATCTGTGTGGGTTTTTTTTGTTGCATTTTACACATTGACCAAACTTTTCAGAATGGCAGATGAAGCCACAATACCCTGTAGTACTGCTATGAATACACATGTGAGTAAAGACTACACTGCTAGTTTTCTCCTGTCCCGGTCAGATTGTTTAACCCTCCCACCCTCCCACCCTCCCTCTCCCTCTCCTCTCTCTGTCCTGGTGCATTGTGGGTCTACTCCTCGATCTCCAGGATGAGGTCATCTCCCTCCAGAGAAGAGTCAGCGGACACGTGGACGGCCTTGACGGTCCCGGACATGGGCGAGTTCACCACCGTCTCCATTTTCATGGCAGACAGCACACACAGAGGCTGGCCCTTCTCCACCTGGGAGGCACAATCACAAGGTTTTACTGCCTCTGTCAGCAAACTCAAACTGCTTTGGCAAGATGGGGAAACATAAAACTATGAATTATTATCAGTAAAATGTATCAGTCTAAAGTTTGAACACACTTTTTCATTTAGTGGCTTTATTATTATGACTATTTACATTGTAGATCCTCACTGAAAGCATCACAACTATGAATGAACATATATGGAATGTAGAAAACTCAACACTTATTTTAGATTTTTTAAACTAGTCACGCTTTGTTTAGATCACTTCTTTGCACTCCTGGCATTTCTTGACCTTGACAAAACACACCTGTGAATTGAAAACTATTTCAGAAGATTTCCTTAAGATGCTCATTGAGAGAAGGTCAAGGGTTTGCAGAGCTGTCAGCAAAGTTTTATTATAAGATATATGATTATTAAGTTTACTGAGTTATTTCACTTTTACTTCTACGCTACATAATTCCGCTTCACATATCTAACGTCATCAGTATTAGTATAGATTTAGAAGTAAACCGACAAACACTTTTGATTGGTAGTTTAAATTATGATAAATTAAATGTATGCATAAAAGATAAGGTGTTAAAAATTAGAGTTTACAGATATTAGCCTATTCTTCATGGTTATAGTGCTATAGTTTTAGTAGGTTAGGTTGAATGACTTGACAATTATGACAATTCCTCACAAATATTATGATTATATTCACACTTTGTTTATTAAAAATGTAAATCATTGCGCATATTTTAAACACGTCTTGCAGCAAAGACATTTGAGACTGAACTGTGAAAAAAATTTAGTATAAAATCAAATCACGTATAAAACCAACGGTCTATGCCTCTACAAACATGATGGAAATTTAAGTCACTGCAAATGGCATTTTACTAAATAACAGTTGCAGCCTTTTCAGCTTCCTACTTAAATGCAAGTGTTTAATTACATTTTAATAGTGGTTAGTTTTGCAGCTCTACTTTATATTGTACTGCATTTATAAATACGTGATTAATTCTAAAGTATGTTGAGGTTTATAAATAATTTTAGCTGTCTTTATTGTATTAGACTGTGCTTAAGTAAAGCCTTTAATTATGGCGTACAAGCACTGAGCTACAAGGCGAACTGATAAAACCATGCTGTTCCTAATAATGTTTTGTTTTTAGTGAAAAGATCAAAATCCATTTGTTCAAAAGGACATTGGTGTATTATTTTACAGCCACTGACCTTCGCTCCAACTTCCACTTTGACCT